ACATCAGCAAGTGTGCCGGAGAGGAGAGGAATTTCGTCAACGTCGTTCGTGGAAGACGTCCAGATTTACCTTTCTCAAACCGGTCTAGATGTCAATTCAGCTCTCGTTTTCCTGCAATAAAGGTTTTTCGTTGATTTGAAAGTGTTTTTTTAACATATTATTATGCTCAGTAAGAAAGCATTTTTTTTTATCAATTTCGTTAATGCATTTCATCTATGTAGTATTTAGTGAACAAAAAAGAAGAAAAAAAAAAGGTCTTTGTAGATTGTAGTGTTTATTTTAAATACTCTTTTCCAATTATATGAAGGATATTTGGATTTTGACTAAACTCTAGAAGTTACACACTATTATGATTATACCAGAGAGTTGGGTTCTTGAAACTTTTTGTTCATATTATAATGCTCAGAAGGGAAAAAATTATCACTTTCAGTAATTCGATGGGTGGTTTAGAATATTCACTGGAAGTCTGGAGAGAGGAAATGGTGAGAAATTGATACTAACAATCGAGTCTGCTAATAACGTTGTTGCGCCATTTGTTATGAAGACGTATCAAATGGTGAATGATCCAACGACAAATGAAATTATTACATGGGGAAGGGGTAACAATAGTTTCCTTGTTGTAGACCCTTTGGATTTTTCGCAGAGGATTTTACTAGAATACTTCAAGCACAAAAGTTTCTCAAGCTTCATTCGGCAACTCAACACCTATGTGAGCTGTCAATACTTTGGGTATTGTTGGAATTATAATACTTTCATATCATTCTGTAAGTAATTTTATCATTTGATAATAATTATGAACAAATTCGAGTACCATAGTATACATTTATTAATTTCAAAATGTTACTGCTCTTCCTACTTGCCAATTTTCAGAAATATAGGGCGTTTTTTGTTTATTCGTTGAATATCCTCAATGCTGATTATCTTCTGATAAAGCTTCAGAGCGAGTTCTATTGGCAGTCTAAAGGAATAAATTTGTGAATTCTACTACTACCTGAATTTTTAGATGAGATAGTTTGAGGTCAGAATTTAAGTTTTGCGGTCATACATATGAACATTGGCTTTCATGAAAAGTAAATTAGTCTTCTAAACTCTTAAGATAGGTGGTTTAATAGTTTACAGAACAGAAATGGAGATACCATTTGCTTTTTCTCTTTTACTTTATTTGTGGGACAATAAGCTTTGTTCCCAATGTTCTTCGGTCTTCGGCCATCGTCTCCGCCCTAGCTGAAGTAGAAAGCTGGATTCGCCCCTGATTGTCAAAATTATGAAAAGTAAAGGGCCTCTGAAGTAATTTTGAAAAGAAATACAAGGAAATACTGAAATTATTACTTTACTGTAACACAATCAATATTTACCTAACGAGAAACAATGGAAAATATTACTTACGATTTCTCTTTATGAATTGGAGGTTTAATATTAAAAAATGGATCTTAGATATTTAATACACGTATCAATTAAGCAGTGACTTTTAAAAATTAAGAACTTCATACTTCAACAATTTTTGATGTTGATTAAAAAAAAACCTAATGTCAATTGCTCAGTATTCTAAAAAGCTCGCCTCGGCGTTTAAGACTTGAAACTCGGGCAAAACGCCTCGTTTTACGCTTAGACAATTTTTTTTTTTTTCAATTCCTAAACGGTTGAATTTTTTTCTTGTGCTCTTTTGTCTTCTCTAGACGGGTCTTATTAGTTTTTTTCCCCCTTTTCTTAAAGTCTTTTATTTGACTTTAGCAGCTTAGCTTAATCATTTTTTGAAAAAAAAAATTCATTTGACTTTAATTTCAAGTTTTTAAAAGATTTTACCTGTACAAAAGTTAAATATGACTTTATCTAAATAATTAAATAAGATTTAAACTATGATGATATTTACATTATGTAATTATGATTTTAAAACTTGTTATTTTATTGCAAACTCCAAAAGCATTTAAAAAGTTCCTATAAATCTATTAAGAGCATGTTTGAGAGTGATTAAAATCCAATTGGATCTCATTCGTCTAATAAAAGTCAACAATAACGGCTAATTTTTCAATTTTAATCCGATTTTAATCTTTACCGAACACGCCATAAGTAAGACTTATCTAGTTGAAAATTGAAAGTATGAAAAATATTCTAATTTTTGCATTTCGAAAACTTGAAAATTGTATAATTGAGTAACGGTAAAAATTATCAAGTAAATATAGTATTTTATAATTTTAGATGTTCGATATGTATTATTTTAATTATTAAATGATTTTTTAAATGATTAAAATTTTAAAATAATATTAAAAATATGAAAATGTTTTTTTTACGCATAAGCCTCGCCTAGGGTTACCTAACCTTGTAAAGTTTGAAATTTCGTCTTCACGTATAACCACATTTTACGATTTTTAGAACATTGTAATTGTTGTAACAAGTTTGTAACAAAATTGCACACTAAACTCCTCGACCACCAAGCAAAGTTAATTTTCGGATTTTTTTTTCGCACTCTTTTGATATAGAGTATTTGCACAGTACAAAATGTTTAAAATGAGAACATGTCCTAAAGTAGCCTCCTATATCTTGAGATTTTAGAAACGTAATACTTGTGAACATGTTTGGTTGGGACTAAAATCTAAATTTTAATTAATAATTAATTTTAATCACGTATTGACATAAAAATCTCATAGTAGTTATGACTATGGGTTGGCAAAATCCGACTGAACCCTTCAAACTGTCCAAACTGAACCAATCCGTCCAGTTTTGGTCGATTTTTTTGTTGTTTTTAAGTGGGTTCGATTTTTTTAGGCGGGGTCCAGTCGAGTTGTGGGTTAACTCATGAAAATCGAATAAACCTATCTAACCCTATCCACCTATTTTAAAAAAGAAAAAGAGAAAGAAAAGAAATAAAATACCTAAACCTAATCACTCCTTAGTTGAAAGAAGCCCTAAAATCAATCTCTTCCCTCTCTCCCGCTCTCGCTCAAATCGTCGACAACAGCCATCTTCGTTTTTCAGTTGCCCAAGCTAATCACTGCACTTCGAGTGCTAGAAAACCTACAAACCATGTATATTATTTTACTCTTCGTTTTTCAGGCTTATTTAGTTTTTTACTACTGCCTGATTTTCTCGTTCTATGCCACATTTGGTATTTCTTCATACACATTACTATAGTTTACCATTCTCTAAGTGATGTAGTTACTCGTTAAAAATATGTGTTTCAAGTTATTTCAAACTGACCAACCCAACACAACCCAATCGACTAATACTTGATTGAGTTGGGTTTCAACATTTATACGGATTGTGTTGAGTTAAATTTTGATTAAACCGATCATATTATATTGAGTTTGGAATGAGACAAAAATCGACCCAACCCATGCCGTGCCCACCCCGTACTTATGACCCCATTTGGGAGTGATTAAAATCTGAAATTTAATTTTAATTAAAATCAATAATTAATTTTAATCATATAATTTATGGAACCTATAACTTTTTAATAGCACATTTCATTAATTTTTATCAAAATCTACAAAAAAATTCTAATTTTAATCTCCAATTAAACATGAGCTATATTTATGGTGATAATTAATGAAATCCAAACTTGAGACTAGGGATAGTTGAATTATTCTTTTCTTCAAATTTGCAACAGGTTGAATACTGTGTAGGTACTTTGTAATATATAAATAACTACATTAAAGCCTTAATAATTATTTACCAGATTTAGTTAGACTTTAATTGTCATCAATTCGTAATATATTTAAAGTATAGTAACTCAAACGTTATCAAAATATTATCTAACAATATCATATATGCGTTTTAATACCTAAATTCATTAAAATTTAGGTGTCTCCAATTGAGATTTTGATAAAATTCAATGAAATTTTTTAAAATTCGAGCATTCTCAATAATTAGTGGATTTATAAAGATTTCATTAATAGAGGGATATTAAAATGTTTAAACGGATTTCAAACTTAAAAATATATATAATCAATTCTTTTGAAATTTCACATGAGATTTTTATAAAATTTGTGAAAATCTATTGAAATTCACGAAATTTATTATGATTTATAATTTTTTAAAATTCATCAAAATCTTAGTTGGGGACATCCTGTAACTTTTTTTTTAAGTATATATGCAAAACGTTACGTACGAGTAGTATTATTTTTTAACATTTAAGTAAATATTTTCCTTCAAGTGGGTATATCTTACATATAACGTTACAAATTTGAGATTGTGAACGTCTTTTTATGAAATGTTGGAGACCACGTGACAAATTTACCATATTTCTTTTTATTATGCACTTATTTTGTATCGATTAAATTTTAATATAATTCAAAGTTAATAATTAATTTTAATTAAATATTTTATAAGTCTCACAATCTTTAAACAACTCATTTCATTTACTCGTATTAAAATCTATTAAAAATCTGATTATTATTACTTGTCTTTAAATGGACACAAGATTCTGGTAAAAGAAAAGAAAATATTTGATTGACAGCGGATCAAATCAGGAGGAATACGCGTTGATGACTTGATGTTCGAGGAAGATGGGCAATGCCGGATCCAAGATTACTTGCATAAAAGTAAACCCATCTAGGCAGAGAGAGTAAAAGCGTGAAACCTCAAGTGTCTGGCTGGTTTCATGTGAATTTCACGTATTGAATCAGACGCATTCGCATAAATACACCAAAACCCACATGCCTCTACCCCTTTAACAGGACAAACAAATGCAGGCTTGATTTTTATTTTTTTAATTCTAAATCGAAAAAAGAAACAAATCCCATGTTTTAGATTTTGATAATTTTGCATTTCTTCGTCATAATCGGTCGTCTTCTTCGTCGTACTGTTCTCTCTCTCTTATTCAATTTTGTCAATCGATTGTTTTCGTCGGTACATCTTATACATATTAGGTTTGAGATCTATTCATTTACTTTATTTCTTGGGGGTGGATCTTTGCTTAATTTTTACTTTATTACACAAGAATCTAGTGCTGTTTAATAATTTTGTAGTAGAAGTAGAGAAATAGTTGAATTAGTGGGAGAGAAATGGAGTCGGAGAAGAAACCGCCGGCAGTATCTGATGTGGGCGCATGGGCAATGAATGTTATCAGCTCTGTTGGAATCATTATGGCCAACAAGCAACTCATGTCATCCAGCGGCTATGCTTTCAGCTTTGGTTAGTCCCTGCTCTATCAGATCTCATCCCTTTGTCAATTTGCCTTTTGAATTCTGAATTTTGATGGGCGTTAATTCGAAGTTCATGTTTCGTGTAGATGTGTTTTGTTGGATTGCCTTCAACTTTAGATACTAGTTTATTGATTACTGTAATCTATTCAGGATTGGATCTCGAGGTGTTTGTCAGTTTTTGATCTGTGGGATGTGCCGATTTTATTAATGTTAGGAACATTTAGCCCATATGCATTTACCAGTTTTAATTATTCATAAAGCCTGCAAATAATCTATTTTGGTGAATTTGTTTGCAAATATGGCCTCGGGTCCATTTTGGTTAATGCAATTGGCATTCTCAGGTTTAGATTTAAGAAGGAAATACACGATTATGCTCCATAGTCTGTGGGCCTTGCCTGCATATTCTTAACTGATCCGTTTGCAGTTGTTTATTTAATAATCATACTGGTGAAATTTATTTCATGATTTTTAAATGTTTTTATGATGCTTGAAAAGTAGACCAAACTCTACAGCATTCTTAATACTTTGTGTTTTGCTTCACGCAGCTACTACATTGACTGGTTTTCACTTTGCTGTTACCGCACTTGTTGGTATGGTCTCCAGTGCCACAGGCCTTTCAGCATCAAAGCACGTCCCTTTTTGGGAACTTCTCTGGTTCTCAATTGTTGCCAATATGTCAATCACAGGGATGAATTTAAGTCTCATGCTAAACTCAGTTGGATTTTACCAAGTATGATACTCAGTGACACACTGCGCATGTTTTTTTTTTTTCTTTGTTACATGATGGTGTTCAAGTCTTCCCTACTTATTTGGTATTTACTTGTATTTTTTGGCAATTTAATTACTCTTTTCATTTCTTCCCCAACTCTCGTTGGACATACTTGAAGTATTAACCGCAAACTTTGTCTTTCTGGTAAATAAAACAGACTTGGCAGCATGATGAGTGAAAACTTGATGACATCCATTTATCATATATTCTTGAAATTATATTCTTTGCCCTTTCCTTAGGAAGTAAAAACTCGATTAAAGGATTGACTGGGGTTGGAGGTTTAAGCATGCATGATCTCTGTACAACCACTTACTAATGTCAAATTGACTTGTAGTACAACTTAAAAGTTTATTTGCAAATCCTAGCCACGTGCATAAAAAACAGAGGACTGCACATCTCTTTATGTTGATCAGTGAATCATACTTTCATACTTCATTTGACTAGTATTTATAATTTTCTGGTTCTTCGTAAATCCCTCTGATTAAAATGAAGTGAGCTTTTGAAGAAATCTATTATTATTAACAAACTTCTTGACATGAAGAATGAGATCTGCAGAATGTCTCTCCATATTGAGGTTGACGATACAATGCATGTTCAGTCAACAATCATTAGTATTTAGTATTTTTTTTCCTAAATAGTTTACTTTGGCATTTGTGTTTAATTATTTTTTAATATTTGTTTTCATATTGTTAAAATTGTTTGTCGATTAGTTGGAAGTGGAGTTGTTGAGAAATGAACTAAAAGTTTCTACTGAACTGACAGTTTTTGTTGAAGTTGTAAAATTTCCTCAATGATGTCGCTCTTTAAATAACTGATGCCATGTTTATTTTTTATTATTTGTATGTAAATCGTTACCTTTTGGATTTAGCTAATTTACTGATGTACTTTTGGTGTAGATATCAAAATTGAGCATGATTCCGGTGGTCTGTGTGATGGAATGGATTCTTCACAGTAAGCGTTACTCAAAAGAAGTTAAGATGGCTGTTGTGGTTGTGGTTATAGGTGTTGGTGTTTGCACTGTAACTGATGTTAAAGTTAATGCCAAGGGTTTTCTCTGTGCTTGTGTCGCAGTTTTGTCAACATCACTGCAGCAAATTGTGAGTATATTTAATTTCCATTCCCATTATATTGGATGTGTTAAAAGGTTGGGTTCCCTTTGATGCCAATTAACAAATTTGAAAATGGTTCTCTAGATAACATAGAATGCAATCTTTTGAGTTGTTTTAAAGCTTCTAAATAGTCTCTGATGAATTCTGATTTTGTCATGGCTTCCAGTTCCTGTCAGAGTAGTGTTAATATTTGGATGTAGTGTGGTCAGCTGTATTTTTAACAGTTTTGTGGATGAGTAAAGCATGATAAATATAGTTTATTTTTAGAAATTATGCTCTTTTATAGGAATTATTAGTGGATTTACTTACTGAACCTTATCAGTCATTCAGTTGAACTTATCCTGCTCAATCTGGGAAGCTATCCCAATCCAGTTTATGTACAAGCTTCATCAAAATCTTGCGGAATCTTTGTGCCAAGACTAAAAGCATGTTTGGAAAGTGTTTATATTGGTTTAAATTATAAATTGATAATGATAAATGTTGCACAAGTAGGTAGTATTTGTGGGTCCCTCAAAATGTGTGGATATTAAGTGGCTCCAGTGTTTATAAACAATTTATAAATATGAGCCAAACATGGGCTAAATATGCTTCTCTTGTGTAGGTTATTAGTTTAAAGGCATATGCATGAGATGGATTCCACCTCTCCTGAGGTGGGAAGGGATCACAACACATAGTGTGAGATCCCACAATGTTGCAGCTCATGTTAAAACACAGAAAAAGTAGATGAAAAATTATTAAAGAACATAATTGTGCACCATGCTGCCCTCTTTATGATCCAATCTTTTGCCTTGTAGCTTTCCCTTAACAGACATTTCTACGCTTCAGTTCACCATGAGAAGCACCTCAAAAGTGCTACATGAAACTCCTATTTTGACTTCTTTGAACTTGATTTTACAGTTTCATGTCACCAAGGAAACAAGCTTTAAGCATGCCTTCGTTATAAAACTATGTCTAACCGTTTTATGTGAACCAGCCTGCCACACCCTCCCCCCAACCAAAAAAAAAAAAAATATTTCCCATGAAAAAAGAAGTATTACTATAACTATTCTTTGGAAAATCGTCTTCTCCAATGTTATGCAGGCAGATGTTTGATTGGACAATTATTCTTTTGATTCAGTCAATAGGTTCTCTGCAGAAAAAGTACTCTATTGGATCGTTTGAACTGTTAAGTAAAACCGCTCCTATTCAAGCTGGTTCTCTTCTTGTGTTTGGTCCTGTAGTGGACTATTATCTCGCTGGAAAGTTAATTTTGGACTACAAGTTTTCTACTGGAGTCATCGTAAGCACCTATTTCTCACTTACTCAGCTCGATTCTTTACATTTGAGTACACTGTAGTAGTAGTAGTAGTAGTAGTAGTAGCAGCAGCAGCAGCAGTAGTAGTAGTAATAGTAGTAATCATTAGTTG